GGAAAGAGATCATGAGACATTATGCTAGCTTTCCAGGAATTCATGGTATATATGGGGAGATAGATATTTACATAAATAATTAAAATATATAAAGCAGTAGAATAGAGATAAGTTCACAGGCTCTTGCAAAACTGAAATTCTGTTTGGTGTTTTGTTTGGCATTGGAGAGGGAGAATAGTGTCCACTGGAGCCCTGTGGACTGAGAGGGGAGAGCCCGAATTGGTGGCCATTACTGGAAGTAGGGTGAATGCATGGACACTAGGAGGCTAAAAACTCACAGATGTACTACTACTCTCGTAGTTTTCTAAGAACTCTTTATTGTTCTCAGATTTCTCAATTTTCGTGGCATCGTGCTCGTGTTTTATTCTTAGATCTCATTGAAAACATATTTTTTGACATTCTCTTAAATCTCCTACATCAATTCTGTTCCAGTGGAAAACATTTATATGATTTTTCTATTTGGAGTTTGATTTTTCACTTCTATGAGATAATGATTTTCATTATGCTTCCAGGGGTTTTCATTGCTTGCTGATTTATATCAGCGTTAATTCATAACTGTCCATATTAACAGTTACGTTAATTTACCTATCAGCTGACTTACTATTCACACCGGGTCATTAGTTAAGCTGGCAGTAAGGACTGCCTTTAACAGAACTTCCCATAAACAGGGTTCAGTTATTAGCTTCCTATTACTGCTGTAACAAATTGCCACAACCTTAGGGCTTAACTTTGCACAAACTTATGATCTCACAGTTTTGGACATCAGAAGATTGAAATGGGTCTCACGAGACCTAAAGGTGTCAGCAGGGCTGTACTCCTTCTGAAGTCTCTAGGGGAATCTGTTTCCCTAGAACATCTTCAAATCTCTCTTTGCCTGTGACCTTCTGCCTTCCTCTTCCACATTTAAAGGACCCTTGTGATTGGTTACACTAGGCCCACCCAAATAATCCAGGGTATTTTAAGGTCATTTGATTAACAACTTTAATTTTGCCTGCAACCCTAATTCCCTTTGCCATGTAACATAACATATTCATAGGTTCCAGGGATTAGGACTTGACTATCTTTGGGAGGTGGAGCCATGTTATTCTACCTTACCTACAGGTGGCTTTAAATTTAGGTGGCCAGGCAGGTCTTCCCTGTGTAGCCATGCAGACAGGTTTCCTCTGGGTACGGCACGTAGCTCTGGGAATCTGAGAACCCGATGGGTCCTATCTTGGGTTCAGGTTCAAGATCTGCTCCCTTTGAACAAGTACATAGCAGGTGAGCAGAGGTGACTGGCTCCCCAGAGACACAGCTCTAGGATTTGGCAGGGGTTTTCTCCACCTCCTCCCACCCCCACTTCACTGCACAAAAGATGTGGGCAGGTCTGAGGGGCTTCTCCAGTCTCCCCACTGCAATACAGGGAAGGGCCACTAGAAGGAAAGTGGCCAGGCTGGGTTCACCCCTACAACACTCTCAAATTGTCCTGTTCTTTTGGAAACTCAAGTCTCGAGGCGTGTTCATGTCCATCTCTCTGACTTCCAGTAGGGGGCGGGTCGGGGGGGACAAAGTTGTTTTGTGGTTTTTTTTTTTTTTCATTTTTTTTTTTCATCTGTTGAGTCATGTCAGCAGGAGGTTGTAAGATTGCAAGGGTCGAATTTGTGTTTGGCTCAACATCTTGGCTCCATTACCCTCCCTGCTTCTCCTCACCCCTCAGCCCTGTCCTCTTAGGCTTAAACCAGGATGGGCCATTCAAGGAGAGATGCTGAGTGGTTCCACTTGTATGGGACAGAGTGGTCAGATCCATGGAATCGGAGCGTGGAAGGTCGTTGCCAGGGGCTGGGAAGAGGGGGAAATGGGAAGTTACTAATGAAGGGGTATAAAGTTTTGGTTGAACAGGATAGATAAGTTCTGGAGATCAGCTGTACGACCTTTTGCCTATAATCAACAATAGTGTATTGTACACTTAAAATTTTGTTAAGAGGGTAGATCTCATCTTAGGTGCTCTTACCACAATAAAACCAAAATTAAAAAAAAAGTAAAGTAGTGAAGTCTAGTCTTAAACATAAAAAACATTTTAAGACTACCCCCAATAAACATATTTTTAAATGGAAAAAAAAATCTTTCATTTACACCCCCCCTCCCCCCCAAAAAAAATCCCAAACAAACCAGGTTTAAATAGAGCTTTTAAAGAAACATATCCATTGTGTAAGGCAGATGCCTGCCCTCACCCACTGAAAATTCTAATTCAGTAGATTTGGGGTGGGGAGAGGACCTGAGAACCTGTATCTCAAAAATCTTCACCTACAATTCTGATGCACAGCCACAAAAGAATCACTGACTTAAAGTTAGGCACACTGATATTTTGAATTTATGTTAGGAAATAAAGCCATAAACACTTTTTTTATTTGTCCCCTGAACAATGTAACTCTAAAATAAAGAATTCAAAGGCTGAGTACTATACTAGTAGAGGAAAAAAGCCATACAGAGATGGAATAAAGTTTTAAGAATCTGTAACAGGCCTAACCCGCCACCCCACAATTCTGGGAAAAGCTCATTCTTTCTCTTTTCCCCCCAAATGCAAATGTAAGTGTAGTAGGGGAGGAAGAAGAGGATCTAAGGTTGGCAGCTAAAAGTTCAGGGAAGGAGGGCCGTTTCACAATATCCCTTCACACCTGTTCAGCACCTTCCAGTTGCTAAAATGTCATCGCTGATACTGCTTCACTGATTCTCACAATGAAATGGAGAGCTCAGCTGGAAAGGCGGGGGAGGGAGGGAACTGAGACTCAGAGAGAACCCCAGTTCATTGCCTAGGGTGCTACAGTGCTGAACCCATCTTCACACTTCATTCTATTTCTCCAGCTTTTCCTCTATCACATCGTGGCATTTACAGTGGGACAGAGAGGACGCCTGGTCCCCCGGCTTTTCCTTACTCCCTAAGACGGCTCTGCTGTCTGCAGGGCCTCCACCTGGGGCTCGGTACCTGGGCGGCGGCGGCCACCTCGTAGCCGTCGGGGTTCATGGACGGCAGGATGTGAATGCGCGTGCCCTCCACCAGCCGGACGATGCGCTGGTTCCTGTTGCGGAACTCCTCGCACAGAAACTCCGACAGCTGCAGCAGCAGCTCGCGGCCCAGCACCTCGTTGCCGTGCATATTCCCCACATACTTGACTTCCGGTTCCACTGCAAGTGAGAGAAACACACATAAAGAAGATGGGGGAAAGCTTACGAGTGCAGTTAATTCCTAACCATGCAAAGGGACGTTTCCCCTCTTTCTCAGTAATGAATAAAAGAAAAATTCACGCTTCTGTTAGGTCTTTTCCAATAATCCCTGTGCCCCCTTTGAACAAACTGCAACTACAAATGCTACCAAAATTCATGCCACGGATAATAATGTCTTCTACTGATTAAAACCCTACTGTGTACTAGGCATTTACGTTATTGCTAATCTTCACAGAAAACCTGTAAAGTAGGCATTATTAGCCTCAGGATGAGGGTACTGGGTATGGAAGAGGTTAAGTAACTTGTCTGAGGTCACCTGGCAGATTAATAACGGAGGTCAAAGCCCAGGTGGCACTGAGGTAGCTTAATGCTTCTCAGAGACAAATCTTTTCAGGATAAGGATAGTGCTTTTCCAAGATTTGCTGGCCTAAAGTCCTCCAGGTTATAGCATAACAGTTCCTAACTGCACCAGTTGAAAATTTAATTTTCTTGGTACTCAGGTTAAAATCTCCCCTTCATATCTGAGAATGCTGTGTCTCGAGGCACAAAGTAGGAAGGAGTCTATGTATGTCTCATTCCTTAGTCTTTTCTTTGGCTATGTTAACTGTTCAATTGAAGTTAGAACTGAGGTGATAAGAGGAGCCTCTAGAACCACTTAAAAAAATCACTCTTGCCCTGTTTTAAAAGGAAGGAGAAAAGCCCTTGCCAAGTGATTTCCCTTCCACCCAGAACTCTTTTTTGTTTTTAATTAATTAATTTTATTTATTTATTTTTGGCTGTGTTGGGTCTTCGTTGCTGTGCGCAGGCTTTCTCTAGTTGAGGTGAGCTGGGGCTACTCTTCTTTGCGGTGAGCGGGCTTCTCAATGCAGTGGCTTCTCTTGTTGCGGAGCACAGGTTCTACGTGTACAGACTTCAGTAGTTGTGGCACGCGGGCTCAGTAGTTGTGGCTCATGGGCTCTACAGCACAGGCTCAGTAGCTGTGGCGCATGGGCTTGGTTGCTCCGCAGCATGTGGGATCTTCCCGGACCAGGGCTCGAACCCCTGTCCCCTGCATTGGCAGGCAGATTCTTAACCACTGCACCACCAGGAAAGCCCCCATCCAGCACTCTCTTGCCTTCATGCCTTTTCTGATTCTGTGTCTCTTCATCTTCACATTTCCATGCCCTCCTCACCATCCATCTAGGCTCAAATGCTCCTTACTCTGTGAAGCCATCTTGGAATCTCCTTGCTGGGAGTGAACTCGCTATTAAACTTCCCTTTTATGATACCACTTTCTACTCTGAGTTTTGGCTAATTTTGCACATGTCCTATTTTCCTTACTGGACCTGGCCTTTGCAATATATGCCATTTTTAACTTTCTTTAGGATACAATCCATTGTTATTTATCTGCTAAGGCAGTCTTTCGCAAAGGAATGTCTATAACCCATAAGGACTGTGTGGTGGATTTTCTATCATGTACATTCTTTAATCTTATCACGTATTTCTTTAATCTTATCACGTCTTTCTTACTTTTCTTGGTGTTAAGTTATACTTTATTTTACGAAAGGATGGTGATAGCAGATGGTAGGTAGTATTCTTCAACATCCTTGTTCAGTAAAATAAAATTTGGAAAATCTATTTTAGTCCTCTCTGATCTCCCATATATATATATATATTTGTGTGTGCATGTGAAATCCATAAGTTTGGGAACCACTGCCCTGTAGAACCTACCATAGTCCCTTGCTCTTAGGAGGTATTCAATATAAAATTCTTTTGTCTCTACTTTCCGTGTATCCAGAATACAATACAACCACTTCTCCTAACAACCACTGTCATCATTTTGGTTCAAGCTCCCACAATCGCAAGCTTGCATTACTACAATAAACCTCCTACTTGAACTCCTTGCATCTGCCCAGCCATGCAAGTCTATTCTCCTGAGTCAGTGTTTGGCAAACGTTTCCTGTAAAGGACCAGATAGTAAATCCTTTGGGCTTCCTGGGCTATATTGTCTTCACTGCTGCTACTCAACGCTTCCAGTGAAAGCAGACATAGATGATACAAAAACAAATGGGTGTGACTGTGTTTCAGTGAAACTTTATTTACCAAAACAGGTAGCTGGCCCTCAAGGCTCTAGTTTGCTGACTCTTGTTCTGAGTGATCTTTTAAAAGTTTTAGTCAGATCATGTCACTCCTCTGCTTAAAACCCTCCAACGGCTTCTCACTTCACTCAGAGCAAAAGCCAAAATTTTTGCGGAGGCCTGCAACCCCCATGTGATCTCCTCCTGCCCGGTATCCCCGACAGCTCTGCTCTGACCTTGCTTTCCTGTGGTTCACTGTCCCGGAGCCACAGGGGCCTCCTCGCTGCTCCTCACACATGGCAAGCGTGCTCCGGCTCTTGCCTCTGTGCGGTGTTTTCCTCCCCAGAACCAGTATGGCACCTCAATCACGTACTCAAAACTCACCTCGAAGGAGCAGCTTTTCCTAAAAAGCAACACCCCCTCCCCCACTCAACCCACAATTGTCCACAACTCCCTCTCTCTCCTTCCTGGTTTCTTTTTCTCAATAGCACTTATTTTCATCTGGTATAATATATATTTATTTAGTTACCTATTTATTGCCAGTCTTACCTCGCTAGAATTAAGGCCCTGAGGGCAGAGTCTTTGTTTTATTCTCTGTGCTATATTCAGAGTCTACCAAAGTGCTTACATTGAGTAGATCATCAGTAATACTTGTGGAATAATTAAGGAATGAATGGATGTACCGTTGATAGGGCATCAGAGAAAAGAGGGATCAGTAAGTTACAATAGTATGAAACCTTCAAGAAAGGCACTGAATGCTAGAAAGTAGACAGGGCACCAAGAAAGGGTCTTGGAGTGAGGGGCTAAGCCTACAATGTCCATTAGCACCCACAAGCTTCCACAATGAACACACGACCTGAGTAAAAGCAGGGTGTTTGCTCTGCAAGTGCATTTTCAAAGCAAGGCCCTTATCTTCACCTAATCACGTAGCCTTCCTTGAGCCCTCTCTCCCTTCCCCTGAACTGGCCACTTAAGAGTTTGAAGCTGTCATGGACAGAATCCACTGGGTGTGAGGTTGCCACTGAAGGTTTTTAAGCAAGGGAGGGAGGGGATTATATCAGTATTTGGGCATCTAGCATCTGTGTCTTAAATGAAAGGTTTAGAGAGTGGTTAGGCGTTAGGAGAACGTCAGGAGCCTGGTGCAATCATTTAGGCAGGCTGTGATGGAATCTGGGCTAGGGGGAAGGGTGAGGAAGTGGAGAGGAAAAGAGACTTGAGGTTGACAGTTTGAAGGAGGAACTGACGTACTTGAATGTCACAATTGCTGTAAGTAAAGCAGTAAAGTAGAAAAAACTTAAATGCCCATCAATAAATGAACTGCTAAATACAACCTTGCAACCATGGAATATTATGCAGTCAAAAATGACAATGTAGATCTATATTTACAGACATGCTATTCATCAAAGACTATGAAATGAGAAAAGCAGATATAGTATGATTCCATTTTTATTATAAAAATGACGTGTAGGAAAGGGGAGGTGGCTTAAACACGCAGAGAAGAAAGTCTGGAAGGAGATACATCAATATGTTAACGATGGTCATCTGTGAGTGGTGGGATTACGGGTGAGGTTTTTACCTTATCTAATTTCTACTTTAATCCAAACATGGATGGCTTTTATAATAGAAACAAACTAACAACAAATAATGCAATGAATAAAATGAATACCCCAAACCTCAAACTCTCTCCAGGATCCCATACTCTGAGTACACTGTCATTCCCCCAAAGAGCTATCCTTAAACTCTGGCAGAACTAGAAGGGTTAATTGTTTCTCCAGAGGCATTGCATAGGGAAAGGCAGAATAGTAACAGCAAGGAAGAAAGAAGGGTAATGGGAGGGAAGGCGGGGGGGATGGGAAGGGAGCAGGGAAAAAGATTCACCTTTTACCATTAAGGTCTTGAGCAAACAGAACCCCAAAAGGAGGAGCAGACTGGAGCCTGAACTGGGGTTGCAGCTCCCCAGAGGCAGGGCCAGTTTGTAGGCTAAGCAAGGAAAATACTCAGGCCAGGCTGGGGAAGTAGTGATACCTTATGGGTGGAGGGGTCCAGGAACCTCCCCAGAAACCACCCCAATTATTGGATTTGTAAGGGAAGGGTCCTGCCCACACACACTTTAAGATACACGCTCAGGGCTTACAGGGCTCGTGGATTCCAGGGTAGTCACTGAATTCCAGCACGTAGAGGTGTCTTCCCTTCACACTGCGCCCAATGCTGTAAACCCTCGTGACATGGGGGCATTCATTGTGCACCTTGTACAGCGTCCGCACGAGGTCATCATAGCGGTGGTGGCGAAAGGTCACCGGGGCAACCAACTTGAAGAGAAGGAGCTGGAGGAAAATTGAGACCAGGTCTGACATCTTGCTGGGCTTTTTCAGAGACCCACTAAAATGGGCCCCGCTTCTCCCAGTAACCCGTCAAAATCCAAGGGCCAAGAACCAGCTTTTCCTAGTTTCCCACCAGTAAACACCAGTGTGACAGTGCCTGGGAAGGAAGTTCAGAACTGTCCCTCCAAAGCCAGAAGTTATTTATGTAGCTCTGGAATAGGCACTCATCTCCCCTCCCCCATTTCTCTGCCTCTCCTAATCCATGAAAACCTTTTGAAAGGTTTTTGCAGTTCTTCAGATTGGGTAGTTTCACTGATTCTGGTTTACTGATTAACTGGACTGTAAACAGGCTTAATAAATAGCTGCTTATAACCCTTTGATTCCCGGAGAATTCGGAGAAGCTTGGCCTGTCCTTGTTCCCTATATTACAGTATAGGAAAGGGTATTAAAATAGAACACTCTGTCCTTTTGATCCATTCTACATCCTATCTTTCTGAAGCACAGCTCTGTCTTGTCCCTTTTCTCCTCAAAAATCTTCAACGGATACCATCGAGAAAATGAAAAGGTGAGCCCCAGGTTGGGAGAAGGCAGTTGCCAATCATGTATCTGACAATATATCCAGATTAAATCAAGAACTCTTACAACCCAGTAATAAAACAAACAACCCAATTTAAAAGTGGGGAAAAGATGTGAATAGACATTTTATTCAACTAAAGTAGATATATGAATGACTAATGAACACATTAAAGATGTTCAACATTATTGGTCATTAAGGAAATGCAACTTAAAACCACAATGAGGGCTTCCCTGGTGGCGCAGTGGTTGAGAGTCTGCCTGCTGATGCAGGGGACACGGGTTCGTGCCCTGGCCCGGGAAGATCCCACATGCCACAGAGCGGCTGGGCCCACAATCCATGGTCGCTGAGCCTGCGCGTCCGGAGCCTGTGCTCCGCAACGGGAGAGGCCACAACAGTGAGAGGCCCACGTACCACAAAAAACAAACAAACAGAAAAAACAAAAAAACAACACAATGAGATATCACATCACATCCACTAGAATGGCTATAATCAAAAAGACACAATAACAAGTGTTGTCGAGAATAGGGAGAAACTAGAAACCTCATATATTGCCGATGGGAATATAAATGGTGCAGCCACTTTGGAAAACAGTTTTGCAGTTTCTTAGAAGTTTAAATATATACTTACTATACAATCCAGCAATTTCCTAGGTATCTACCCAAGAGAAATGAAAATACATATCCACACAAAAACTAGTATGTAAATGTTCATAGCAGTATTACCCACAATAGAAAAGTAGAAACAATCTAAATATCCATTAACTAATGAATGGATAAACAAAATAATGGCATATCCATGCAATGGAATATCATTTGACAATGAAAAGGACTTAAGTACTGATACATTGTACAAGATGGATGAACCTTAAAAATATTATGCTCAGTGAAAGAAGACACAAAAGATCACATATTATATGATCCAATTCATAGGAGATGTTTACAAAACACAAACATATAGAGACAGAAAGTAAACTAGAGGTTGGCTAGGGCTAGGAGTGAAAATGCAGAGTGACTACAAATGGGCACGAGATTTCTTCTTAGGGTGATAGAAGTGTTCTAAAATTAGATTGTGGTGACTGTACAACTCTGTAAATACACTAAAATTCACTGAATTGTAAATGGGAAGCAGATGAATTTTATGGTATACAAATTATATGTCAATAAAGCTGCTTTTAAAAAATAAATAAAAATAATTAAGTACAGCCACCCAAAAGTTAGCTATGAATTTACCATACAACACAACAATTCCACTCCTGGGTACCTACCCAAGAGAACAAAGACTTTTACACAAGAATATTCATAGCAGCATTATTTGTAGTAGCCAAAAAGTGGAAACTACCCAAGTGTCCACCAACTGATGGATAAATAAAATGTGGTATATCCATACAATTGAACATTATTCAGCAATAAAAAGGAATAAAATACTAATACATGCTACAACATGGATGGACTTCAAAAACACCATGCTAACTGAAAGGAGCCAACACAGAAAACCCTCTTATTGTATGATTCCATTTATATGAAATGTCCTGCAAAAGTAAACTTACAAAGTAAAATAGTGACTTACTACGGCTGGGAGTGGAAAAGGAGATTCACTGTAAATGGGCATGAGGGATCTTGTTGGAGTGATGAGAATGTTCTAAAACTGGGTGATGGTGATGGTTGCATAACTTGGTAAATTTACTAGAAATCATTGAATTGCACACTTAAAATGGATGAATTTTATGGTACGTAAATTATACTCCAATAAAGTTTTTTTTTTTTTTAAACAAAGTTTCAGTGGAATTTCATGCACTAGAGTGTAAAATCCAAATGCTTCTGCCTGGTTTTCAAGTCACTCCTACCAGGTTCAATTGTGACCTCACTCCAGTACAGCCCCTCTGCAGTGCCTACTGTCTTCTGAGCATGCCCTCATCACCTGCTTTCCTGCTTTTGCTTATGTTCTTTCCCCAGGTAGCTTTACTCAGCTCCAAACCCTGGGTCTTCCTCATGTCCCCTTGCAATTGCTGTTACCATCAGTCTTTTTATCTCCAATCTTATGACTTTGCCTGTTATGCACTTATCCACTGTGCTAGGTGTTAGGTGTTAGGATAGAGGGCAGCCCTGCTGATGCATTGTTCCTGCCCCCCAGGATGATCGGCAGCCTCTAGCACACAGCCTGGCACGGGGGCACATTTGTTGAATGAATGAATAGACCTATTATTGACCTTTCCTCTTGCATCCTCCTGTGCTTCAGCAAACTTTTCCAAGGAAATCCTATGCTTTTCTCACCTGTCAGTAAAGACAGCTATCAACTCTTGGTTATATTGGGTGAACAAACTATAGCCAGGCCAGTCTGGCCCACAGATGGTCTAGAGTTGGCCCAAGATCAGTACCAAATCAGCAGTACCACAGAGTAAAAACCACAGGATTTTGCACCCACGGCTAAAATCCCATAATTTTCTGATGAGATCCTGACACCCCAGGTGGTGAGGGCAGGCATCAAGAGAGAAAGCTGAAAGGACATCACTAATGCTGTTACACATTAAGCCCTTGATCTAGGACTGATGAAATAAAATTTATATTTTAAGGCAGGACAAGAAAAAATTAAACATAAAATTTTCTCTGTGTGTTTGTTTGGACCTCCTCCCTCCCTCCCTCACGTGCAGTGTGCATCCACATTACACATTAACCAGAGCTCAAAGATGGGCCTGCTCTATAGTAAAGATCAATTTTTTTCCTAGCAATGCAACTTCTTAAAAGAATAGTGTTCTTTCCCAGCCCTGTAGGGGGTCGTGGTGACTTGCTGCTCACTTTGTACGTGCTTACGTGGACCATGTATCCTTGGTGAACTTTATGTAAAATATCAATATGTCATTTTGATGTACAATCCTTTGTCTCAAAAATGTATGTGACTGTGCCTTAGACTCCTAACAGGTGGAATGGTTCTCAGAGCTTTCTAAGAATATGCTTCCCGGAATGGGCATCATCAGAAAATCTACAAACAACAAATGCTGGAGAGGGTGTGGAGAAAAGAGAACCCTCCTGCACTGTTATATATATAATATAACATATATATAATATATATATAATATATATAATATATATATATAAAATATATTATATATATCAATATACAGCCACTATGGAGAACAGTATGGAAGTTCCTTAAAAAACTAAAAATAGAACTACCATACGACCCAGCGATCCCACTCCTGGGCACATACCCTGAGAAAACCATAATTCAAAAAGACACATGTGGCGCATGCTCCACCCACCCCGGAGCCTCACCCTCTGCCATGATGAGGAAATGAGTGCCAGAGAGGGCGTGAAATTTAAATTCCACTCAGGGGAGAAAGTGTTGTGCTTCGAGCCTGACCCCACCAAGGCACAAGTGCTAGATGATGCCAAGACTGTCGATGTTATTGTTGGTAAAGACGAAAAAGGCAGAAAGATCGCAGAATATCTGATCCATTTGAATAGTTGGAACAGAAGCTGGGATAGATGGGCAGCTGAAGATCATGTCCTTCGTGACACCGATGAAAATTGGAGATTACAGAGTAATTGGCAAGAAAAGCTGTAGCTCACCTGAGAAGCACAGGAAGAAAGAGGAAGTGCTTCAGGTTGCCAGGTGTGGACTCTGTCTTAAAAAGCCTCCCTGCTGAAGAAAAAGATGAAAATGTTGAAAACTTAATAAGCAGTTCCTCTGATGACAGTAGTGAAGAAAAGGATGAAGAAATAAGTGAAGAAAGTGATATTGAAGAAAAGACTGACATGAAGGAAGAACCAGAGCTGCACACAAAAAAGGAAATGGAAGAAAGAACAATAGCTGTAGAAATCCCTGAAGTTCTGAAGAAGCCTGAGGATGATTGTTACTGTATCAACAGGAGGAAACGGTTAGTGAAACTTTCATGCCAGACCAACATCGTAACTATTTTGGAATTGTACGTGAAGCATTTTGCTATCAGTACAGCCTTTTCAGCCAATGAGAGGCCTCATCACCATCAGGCTATGCCACACGCCAACATGAGTGTGCATTATATCCTAGCAGAAAAGAACGTTGACCTTTGTAAGGAGATGGTGGATGGATTAAGAATAACCTTTGATTACACTTTCCCATTGATTTGGCTCTATCCATATGAACAAGTTCAGTATAAAAAGATGACTTCGTCCAGATGTTTTCTTCCGATTAAGGGAAGTACCACAAACGCTAATCAGAACCCGGGGGATCTCTCTCCAAGCCCACCTTTGTTGAATCCATCCACACCACAGCCCACAGAGAGTCAGCCAACCACAGGCGAGCCAGCCGCCCCCAAAAGGTGCAAAGCCAAGCCAGAAGCCTTGCAGTCTCTGAGGAGGTCCACACGCCACTCTGCCAATTGCGACAGGCTGTCTGAGGGCGGCGGCTCGCCTCAGCCCAAGTGTCGGCAGCAGGACACGTCTGCCAGCACGCCCAAGCTGTTCCTGCACCTGGAAAAGAAGACGCCTGTTCATAGCAGATCATCCTCACCTGTTCCTCTGACCCCTAGCAAGGAAGGGAGTGTGGTGTTTGCTGGCTTTGAAGGCAGAAGAACTAATGAAACAAACGAGGTCCTCTCCTGGAAACTTGTAACTGACAGTTACCCCCCAGGTGACTAGC